CTTGTCTTTGTCTCTGCTGATCTCCATCCCAAAATGCGTTTAGCTTCACCCAAATCCTTCATCTTGAACTCGTTCAAAAGCTGAATCTTTAATCTATCTATCGCGGATCTGGAAGTAGAAGCAACTAAAATGTCATCGACATAAAGCAATAAATAAATGTACGCACCTCCATTCAACTTGCGATAGTACACGTAAGGATCAAACTGGCTCCTAATATATAAATGACCGATCATGAACCCATCGAATCGTTTATACCATTGTCGAGGAGATTGCTTCAAACCGTATAGCGATTTCTTTAATCTACAAACCAATTTATCTTTCCCTACAGCTCGGAATCCTAATGGCTGAGTCATATAGATTTATTCACCAATATCATCATGAAGAAATATTGTTTTTACATCCAACTAATCAAACTCTAAATCATACTGTGCCACCAAAGCTAGCAAAATCTAAATCGAAGAATACTTCACCATCGGAGAAAAAACCTTATTATAATCAATACATTCCTCCTGTGCATAGCCATTCACAATCAACCTAGCTTTGAACCTCACGGGAGTACCTTCAATGTCCTCCTTCTTCGTATATACCCATTTGTAACCAATTGCCTTCCGTCCTTTTGGAAGCTCGACAAGCTCCAATGTGTCAATCCTATGAAGAGACTCTATCTCCTCCTGTATAGCCACCTATACCACAGATTAGCCTATGAACTCTGCTCGGCCTCTTCGAATGTAGTAGGAACCATCTCATCGATACTCTCCACTGAAAGTGCATACGCAACAACTGTGTTTGTATACCTAGTTGGCATCTGTATGTCTCTCATGTCTCCGAACCGCTATAAAATCCTAAACCTGAGCTGTCGGTCCCTGATCCTGCTCAACTGTACATGTATCCTCCAAATCATCACCGTGCTCACCTGGCATCACCTCAGTCAGTACTCTAATGGATATGATCTCATCTGGATAATGTGGAGCTGCATCAATCTCCACCACCTGTGATGTCTCTAATGTCGGGTCGCTCTTCACCTAATGAGAGCTAGGAAGCTTCAAGATAGAAGCCTCATCGAATGTGACGTCTCTACTCAGCATAATATTCCTATCAACTGGATCCCAAAACTTGTATCCCTTGACACTACGCTTGAATCCCACAAATATGTTATTCCTATCTCAATGTTCTAATTTATCTGTTCTAACATGATAAAATACAGGGCATCCAAATACCTTAAACTGATCATAATCATGTGCTGGCTCTCTCGACCGCATCTCTATAAGGGTTTTCCCCTCAATCGTAGATGAAGACAGCCTATTAATAAGGTGGCTCGCATAAGAAAATGTCTTAGCCCAAAAGATCTTCTCCAAACCATTCTACGATAATAAATATTGGATATTCTCTAGCAAAGACCAATTCAACCTTTCTGCCACTCCATTTTATTACGGTGTGTGACTAACTATGAAATGCCTCCCTATACTCTCGTCTTGATATAGCTGCTGAAAGGGGTCAGAAGTATACTCACTGTCGTTATCGAATCGTAACGTCTTGATCTTTCTCCCAATCTGTAGTTCCAATCTCTTCTTCTACTCCACAAATATCTCTAGGATTTTATTCTTCTTCATCACAGTGTACACTCAACAATGCCTAGAATAGTCATCTACAAACATGACAAACCAATATCGACCATCAAGTGATGCCATCTTGGTGGGACCCCAAACATCTGTGTGTACGTAGTCCAAGATGCTCCTGGTCCTATGGATGGCCGTCTCTAACTTTACCTTTGTCTTCTTGCCAAGAATACAATGCTCATAGAACTCAACTTTCCCACTCTTAGCTCTCTTCAATAGTCTCTGCTTGCACAAAGCTTGTAGTAAATTTTTACCTGTGTGCCCTAACCTATAGTGTCAAAGTCTGCTCATGCCCGCCTCTGAAATAGCTGAAGCTATCTGGCCAATCTCGGTACTCCCCTTTAGATAATACAAATTTCTACTGCGGACTCCCTTTATCACCACCAAAGATCCCTTAGTAACCTTCGCTATAGCGTTCTCAAATGTCACCTTGAATCCCTTCGCCTCTAAAACTCCAACTGAAATAAGATTCTTCTTCAACTGAGAAACAAATCTCACTCATTCAATTCATGAACTACTTCATCATGTATCCGAATCCTGACAGTACCTATCCTAAAAATACCAGAGGATTGATTATTTCCCATGACTACCATGCCCCCATCGAGTTTCTCAAACGGTGCAAACCAATCTCACTAGGGAATCACATGATAAGTAGCACCAAAATCAAGCATCCAATCAGATGCATCCACATGGTTCACCTCTAGAGTAATCAATAGAGAAAAACACGAATCATCAGAATTATCACCTCTCGCGATGTTCACCTCATTGACCTTCGGGCCTTTCTTCTTGCTATTCTCCTTCTCATTGAGCTTCAGACAATCTCTCTTCCAATGTCCTTGTTCATTGCAGAACGCACATTGGTTCTTCACTAACTGGTGGTGGCCCCTTGACTTTGACCTGTTCCTATTACCACCTCTCGGATATGGACTTCTACCTCTCATCGACAAGGCCTCTCCTGAAGTGCTAGCACGGGAAGTCTCTCTATCCTTCCTCCTCAAATCGTAGTTTGTCAATGCGTTAGTCACTTCACTGTAGGTGATGGAAAATCTCTCGTTCAATAAAGTGAGAATGAATATATCATACTCATCATCGGATAAGGAGCCTAACAAGATAATCGCATTGTACTCGTCTATTATTTTCTCATCCATGTTCGTCAAGTCTGACAATAACTTTCTATAATTATTCACGTGAGTCGCAAGTGAGGTGCCACTGGACATCAAGAATCTAAATAATCTCCGCAGTAAGTGCAACTGATTCTCAACACTCTTCGTAAGGTACTTGTTATTAAGAATCTCCCACATCTTCATCACAGACATCACTCCAATCACATCGTATTTCAGCTCTTGTTCCAAATAAGACCTGATCACCCCCATAAACATTATTATTCATCTTGTCTCATATCACCTCATCGTATTCTGATGGCCTCTTATGGACCATGATGGTCTCTTCTAAATTTTGAGCATTGAGAGCGTCCTATACGTCGCTCATCTACAAACTAAAATTAATCTTGTCGTCATACTTCACAACATTAATTTAGTATTTTGAAGTTCAATCTGAACTGTGCTCATCATCGTCTTGCTGCTTTCACCAACTTCTTCTCCCATGCTTACAAACTCCAAATTATAAAAAAAGATTCAAACTTTGATAGAATTGAAAAATTACCCAACCAAACCCTAGATAGGATTCTAACTAGATCTCCTAACCACACGAGAAAAGCGAGATCTCCAACGGCAACTCTATAACGTTATCTCCACCGAAGCCTAGAACTCTAAGAATCAAGCTTCAAACAATGAATCTTCCTCCACCCAATGCAAAACCCTAGATCTAAAATCTAAGCTATGATACCAATTGTTGTGCGTCGTGCGGAAGCGTGCTCGACAACCAAACGAGTCGGTGAACAATGAGAGAAGAGAACAAAACCAAATTACGAGTGCAATTCACCAAAATACAACACAAATCAAGCATAAGAATTTACGTGGTTCGGCAATTGCCTATGTCCACGGGAAGAGGATGAGGAGATTTCACTATATGGAGGAGAAATACAACGGGTTATAACTCACAAAATTACTCAAATATAACCCTAACCAAAACTCTCAACTCCCTCACAATATCTCCCTCTCAAAGTACTAAAAACAATGCTAATTCTCTCCTTAAGAAACCATAAAAAACGTATTTCTATTTATAACAAAACACAATCCCAAACATGTTCGGAATCTGAAAACAAGTCTGCCACACCCGGGTGTGGCACGCCGGGTGTGGCACGCACCAAATCCCTGAAAACAGTGAAAATTATGTCACATCTGGGTGTGGCAGACACCACACCCCTAACAACAGAGGCAAATTCTGTCACATCTGGATGTGGCAGACACTACACCCCTGCCGAATCTTCATGTTTGCCAACATTTTGAACAATTTGTTTCTACACCTCTCAGTTATAACGATATCATATCGCCTTCAACCAAAATACATATCCTTTCGAAATAACGTGACATTTTGATTCAGAGTTTTTATTTGTTTGTCATATATTAACTTGTATCTATTATCTCTCTGACTTCTGATCACGTTACTGAAAATATTGCCAAAGTGAAGGTGCGGTCCAATTCCCCGGTTGGCGTCTATCAATGACAATGGCTGCTGTAAAACTGAGAATATTAGGCCGTTATGAGGTCACAAATTCATAGTCGGGAAGATAGGGCGCAAATCACGCGTCTGTCTCGAGCCTGTTGGGTCTTGACTCTTAACTCATTTGGAGTGTTCTGCCCTTTGAATTTTGATGCCTCTCACTTTTATGATTTCACTTGAAGTCATTAAGGACATCACTGATTGGATGGGGAATTGTTTCATTAAACCAAAATAATCACGGGTTTTTTTGTCTAGTCTTACGGTGGCCGGGCTACTAATGCGTCTACCATGGAAGAACCATTCTGCAAAAGATCCTAAGGCTTAGTTTAACAAATGAAAAGATAAACTAGTTCTTTTCAAAACTAGTTCAAAGTAAAGCAGGACGAGGGCAGATAAAAAAAAGAACCAGTTTAAGGCCAAATTTTGGCCTAGCAAAACTAGTTCTTGTCTTGGCCCAAATTTTGCGAAGATAAGATTAAGACTTTGGACCGATGTTATCTACACTTTGGTCTCGTTTAGTGGGTTTGCCAAACATACGCAGTGATACATGTACAAACAGGGCATACATGAAATTTATAGACACATGATGTACAATGAAGAATCATTTATTCAGGACCCACAACAACTTGAACACTTCACATTTTGACTAATTTGACAAAAGTTCGAAAAGAAGAAACCAAATATCCTGGAGGAAAATACTGCACTCAACCGCACCATCTCACTCTATGAACAAAAATTTCTTTGAAAAAAAGAAACGAAAAGGAGAAAGAACAACTGGAACAAACTGATAAAAAAAGAATCAAAAGAATAAGCAGACAATCCAAGCATAAATCTTGAAAATCCTCTGCATCCTCTATCGAGATATAATAGCATACCGTAGCAAAATAGACATAGTGGGAAATTCCAATATTTGGGAAGAAAATTAACCACCAGAGTGAGATACTGGTGATGTTACAAACTGTCCATCTTTGTAACAGTGAGCAAACTGCTGTGGCAAATTATGCTCCACCTACATAAAGCAAGACAGCATTAAAAAGATATCTCCTGAATGATTAAATTACCACCCAAATAAACCTTAATTTGAAAAGAACAACTGTTACATCTTGACGGATTCATGTTTGGCCTCACAAATCGATGAAAATATGTTGCAAGCTTTCTTTGCAGCGTGTGTGTAAATAATGCCAATAATGATTTAAGGTGTGCGGAAATTTCATTGGCTGGAAGTTTGGCAAGGGCTGGTTTTATAGGCCAATAATGATTTTATAAAAGAAAGAGGACAACTGCTTATGCAGCAGTAAAAAAAAGGGGATCCTTCTATATGATGGCATTTTCCCTCTTTTGTTGGGGAAAAAGAGATGGATGGTAATTGAAAATGATATAATGCTGAGGATAGTAGGAAAGTAACACCAACACAAGTCTACGGATCTAGGAACATTCTGGAAGAAGAGGAAATAGGGCATGAATTACGCAAATGATCTATTTGGTCGCATGGTTTTCAGTAGATACATGCAGTATTGCCAGGACCCTTTTTTTTTTTTTGCCTGGGGTACGGGCTTGAATTCTTACTCTGATTATAGGTCACACTTTTGCACTTACTTATACTTCTTTACCTTAATTGTTCCCTCTTGTAGAGGGTACCACATGGTGTATATTTTCTTTCGCTTATGTTTGCCCAATTTAGTATTTGAATCCAGACGGATATGATACATACTAATTTGGACCTATGCCTACATCCGAGAGGATGCGAATATGGATTCCGTTTTGGATAATCTAAATCCCTAAGTCCCTGACAACAAAAGCTTGCAAACAAATGCAAGTCGAGAAAAAGAGTTTTGTTTGCTTATATGAAAACTGACAAATTTCACAATTATTTTTTTATTTGTCTTTAGTTTAAAAGAGAAAAATGATTCTACAATAGTGAAAAGTTAAACAAGCCATTGACTCGATCTTGTTGTTTCAGATGTTGGCATTATAAATGATACACATTACATGCATAAGGAAAGAGATCGTACATACTGAGTAGCAGCAAATTTCGCTTCTTGTTGGGTGATGTAGAAAAACAATGTTTGGCATATAGAGTATCTATAGGACTCAAAATTTTATGCTCTTGATAAAATAAATTTTATATGGATAAATAATTAATATGTAGGATGAAATATAAGAAGAGGAAGTTAATGAAGAGACTGATACCCAATCACCATCAGGGCTTTCGCCAGGAACAAGTACATTAATTTCACTTGATTTCGCTGTAGTTATGGAAACCTCTAGTGAATCTTTGCTGAGGTAGAGTTGGCATCCTCCTGTGTTATCTATTGATATGGTTGGTGCTGAACCCTGATAAAAAAGCAATATCTACAAGTTAGAAAATATCACAAAGTTTCACAGTGACATATTGAACTATTTATTCTAACAGAACATGCACTAGACTAAAAGTTGTCTTTGAACATTGAATGCACATCCAAATTCATTAGACCTAAACTGCTTGATTCCATGCTGGTTTATACTTTTGAGACTAGTTTATTCAGACTGATCTAGAAGATTTATATATATCACTGAAGACCAATTGTTTACATAGCTTGCATTCACAGCTAATAGGGAAATTATCATCAATCTATTTTATAACATTGCCCTTATTTATTTCCTATCACAGGAATCACACTCCTAGTTAACAAACTAAGCCACTGCAAAGCGACAGAAGGCAGTTACCTCACATTGGACTTCAACTCTATTGCAATTGACAATCTCAAAAGCTGCCACAACATCCTGAAAGAAACACACATATGATTCAAATAAATCTCACATCTGTCAATTATGAAATCTTGCATGCTGTCTCACTCTCAAATATGGGATTATCTGGTTCCTGCACTCACCTTGAACACAATTCCTGTCTTGGTGCATTTATCAACAGTTATATTGTTCACCTTTTCTGCACATTGTAAATCACACTTATTGCATTTTAATCACAATTTTGTAAAATCATAGTACAAAAAATAATGGTTGAGACTCGATTCAAGATTGAACATGACATATTTCAAGTATAGATATGAACATGTCACAAACCTTAAAATTTACCTTTTACTTGTAAAACAGAATCCTTACAGCCGAATACATAAATAGACTGTTTAGAATCACAATCAGCAATAACCAAGCTCTTGTTTCCTATCTGGTTTTCAACAACCCACCTGCCAGTGATATTCAAAAAATAAATTTATATAAGTATATATGACTACGTATTATAAGTATATATGACTATGTATTCAATGAAAATTTGATAGCCAAAATAATCTCACTTGCGACCCATTTGAAGCTCAAATTTGGGAGGGGTTGCTTTAGCAGCCAAAGAGGTATTAACATGAGGCGCCCTTTCAGTTGTACTAACAACACCACTTCTATCAACACGATTCTTAGATTTCATGTCATCAGTCACCTTCCTCAAACCTTTAAAACTACCTCGTAAAAATTATGTTGAAAAAATAATCAAAATGTTTAAGGGTTTTGTTAAAAGAAATTACCTGCAGTTACTGGCTTGCCTGAACTTATTTCTTGAAATACAGCGGACATCCCTGTTTTAGGTTGCAATGATGATGTGTCGCAGCTAAAAAGACATTTTGAAGGAGGTGGTGGTGCAGCGGGGGATTGAGCTGGGCATTTTCCCTTAGAAGAACTCGAGTTACAAAGAGCAGGACTTCCTGCAGGACCCCAAACAGGCCCCAATGGATAAAATGTCTTCACATATTCCCTCAAACCAGGTAAATATAGCTCCTTTAAAGCTTTTGCCCACTCTATGTGATCAGGTTCCTTATTTTTGTACTCCACGAGAATCTGGTAAATAACAAGTGGAAGTTAGTTGTAACTTTATTCATATGATGGACATGTATCAGTTTTTATTAATACGAAGTAGGATCATTCATCAAGTGCGAAAAGTAGATTGTAGGTCCATGTAAAGTTTCTCATAGAGGGGCAATAGTTTAGCAATATTTGGAAAGGTAGTATTTGTAAGTTATTCATACGATTATGCAATAGTATCAGAATCCTCAATAAAAAGTGAGGAAATTCTATTTAAATATCTTGGAATCATGAAATAGAGCAACAAAATGTGATATATTAGAGCAAAAAATCACAACGCAATCAAATGATCTAGCTATGTTTGGCTCAAATAAGCATTATCTTAAATAACTTATGCAACCTCATATGGATAGTTGTTGTTTCTTCTGCATCTTCTGCATTTTAAAACTTTGCACATACCTTGTTATTATAAAATTCAGCTGCCTGCCAACTTTCTTCAACATGTGCAATGGGAAGACTCATGCCTTAAAAAAAAGGATAAGCATCTCAGAAAACAGAATGAATGTTGTACAATGAGAGAAATTGTAACGTGATCTCCCATACTAAAATGATTAATAACAATAAACCCACTCACCACAGCCCTTTCCCGAATAAGCTATCCATGCTAAGGCTGAAAGACTGTCTGAAGCTGCTTTTAAGTGGTTGGAAAAATCAGATCGTTTCCCTTCGGTCATAGAATTTGCTTTAACAATTATTTCATTTAGCGGCTTCAGAAACTCTGATAAGCCAGCAACATCTGGTTTCTGTGGCATGCTAACATTATTATTAGTGACAAAGAATGGAATTTGTATGCTCAAGAGTAGAATTAAGAAATATTAAAAAATCTGATTCAATATAAAGGGCCAACATATCCCGAAAGTTTGTTCTTACATTATTGCAGTTCATTATTAAGGAATCTCTTTTATTTTATTTATGGTTAGATTGTAAAATAAAATGAGCCGAAGGGATATCCTTGAAATAACCTCCAATATTGCCCCAAATAGAGTTGTCATTGAAGTTTAAAATGTTTTCTTCTTTTTTAAAGTAACCAGGTCAAGATGGCCAGAAAGTTCATTAGGTAGAGAGAAAAGATATAGAATACAGAAAATATATGAAGAGGAAAGAAGCAGAAATACAATAAGGGGATAAGAGGAAAGTTAGAAGACACGAAAGAGTAAAATCAGATGAATGGTATTTGCATCTCTGAGTTTATTCGAGTGTAAGGTGATGTTATCATACCAAAAGGAGGATCAACGTACAATCAGGCAATGAATGGTGTTCGCATCTCTGAGTTTACTTCACTAAGCTCTCTTGCTCCGTTCAATTAAAATCTAGAAGTAGCTAGCAAGTAAAACACAATTACATAATCCCATTGATTAACAAGATGTGGAGGACTGTACTGATGACAAGAGTTCCAAAGTACAGCGATCGATGATGAAAGCAGATTGGAGCAACATTTAAGAATAATCGGACACCAAATACTGAGCATGTAAGAGCAGTGGAGGAAGACATGATCATTAGACTTTGAATTATCGCTATAGAAGAAACATGCAATGGTGTGAGATTAAATGACAGATTCCTTTTGGCAAGATTATCAATGCTGAGTAATCTTACAACAAAATGCTAGCCACATGAGAATCTTCGTCTTGAGCGGAGCAGAGGGGGTGCAGTCCATAGATGAAGGAGAGAAGGCATAACCTGATGGAAGCTTATATTCTCACTGAGAAAATGTCTTAGCTATTTATGAACATATTTCAAGCATGGCCTAAGTTGAGTTCTAATCGAGTTGCTAGGTGCATATCTTTTCTACGCCATAGTTATTAGTTAACTGTCCCCAGATAACTTTTCAATCATCTAATGGCCACCATTTAGAAGCGAGGTAATATGTTACTAACCTTGACACTCAGAAAATGCATCAAAGTGGTTTACTTGCTTGCAATGTCTAAACTTAATTTGATCCTGAAAAGAGAGTGGGCGAACAAAAACCACACACGATGAACTCAAAGTTACCCCTTGATTAAATTTGCACATTTTCGAGTACCATTCACTAATGCTTTTAACCATCTCATTTGCACAAGAGCTCTACGAGATTTAAATAAAGCAATACATCTTTTGCATAACATAGTTTCTTTTAGCCGGCACTTGCTCTGATTAGACTGATTACTACCTATAAAAAATTTAGCTAAAACAATCAGTCAAAAGTTTTAGCATCATGAATCCGGACAAAAATTGAAGGAAGAAGAAAAGGACAAAGAGCATTTCCAGCCCCTTGACAAGCCAACTGTCTACATAATCTACACTCTGGATATAAAAGATTTCAATGAGAACCCCCGTTACTCTAACAAAAGCAACCATTTGACCATAGTAATCAAAATATTTCCCACAATAAAAAATAAAAATAAAAAACAGAAAAATGGAAGGATTCGAAAGCTATGAGAAACCAACCTGACACTTCTTGACCCGGATCAAAAGATCCTTTTGGACTAAGAAAGCCTCCTCTACTACCTTCGACGCCTCCAAAACATTCCCGCCAATTTTCTCTGCCGTTTCAATAAATTTGCTAATGTAGTTCTCAATTAGATCAGAGAATGCCGATATTGATGGATCCAACGGACCATCATCGGAGAAACCCCTGGATGAAATGGTGGTCCCAGGTCCGGCAGAGATTGCCTCTAACCGTGAAACAGCAGATTCTAGCCTTTTTATTAATTCCTTCTCCATTCCTATGAAACAATAGATTTACTGTTTTATTATTTTGTTTATTACAATTAAGCATTAGAATATGGAGAAAAGATCACAGGAAGTGCTTCTAATATTGTAATTCTGGATTTTATATGCATTTCTTCTGATCTGATTGAAGAAGAAAATGAACAAAATTAATCACATTACAAAGATCAAGAAGAAATTCAACAGAGGGCTAACCTTGTGATGATTTGTTCAGAAGATAGAATGACATAAACGAATGATCCAAGCAAAAAATAAAATAAAATTGCCGGGGAAAAATTTATTGATAAAAATGCAATTAATTGGATTTGATTCCCCTAGTTCTATAATTTATTTAATCAAAGCGGGAAAGGACAAAATTGATCACATTATGAAGAAAAATAAGTAGAAAGTCGACATAATACTAAAATTCTGGTGATTTGTTTAGAAGATTGAACAATATAAACGAAACATCCAAACAAAAAGCAGACTAATTGCAATAATGGGACAAGATCTATGGATAGAAAAAGAGTTAATTGCATAAAATTAAAAGGAAAAGGAAAGGTTTTTTTACCTTTAAATGCTTGGGAATTTGGGCAAGAATTGAACTCCGTTCTTGAAGGAGAAGGAACAAGAAGAATGATTATGGAAAGAGAGAAAAACTATTGGAGATGTAAAGCTACGAATGCTGAAGTGGCGATTAATACGTGATCTTCTCCGGGGGACGTTAATTTTCATCGGGGCACAATTTGCATGCAGGTGAACCTTTTAGGTAAATATTTCACAAAAATCCCTCGAGTTTGGCTGGGTTAGAGATGCCCCAAGCTTTACAAATGTCACGTATATATCCCCCTATCTAATATCGTTAAATCTGGCTGTGCACGTGAGGAGAGTGCCCCTGATGAGAAGGGAGGGGGAAAATGAAAAGAAAAGAAGAAGAAGGCCTTCCGTGTTATTTTTAGCAGTTTTCAAGGTGATTTTTACGAAACCGTCTTTAAGTAGAGTCTGATTTCCAGATAACCCCACATCACACTCGCCCTCAAGTGATTTAATGATTAAATATTTAGAAGCCTTGTCTGTTTGGATTTGTAGGGGGTGAAGGGAAGTTAAGCGAAACTGAGTGAAGGGAAGGGAAGGGAAGGTAAGGGAGTTCTCTTCCCCTTGGTTACACCCCAATTTGGGGGGTAACAATTTTTATACTATTAGGAGGTGAACCAAGGGGACCAATTTGGGGGGTAACAATTTTTATACTATTAGGAGGTGAACCAAGGGGAACTAGGGTGAATTAACTTAACCTCCTAAGTGTTCCCAAATAAGGTGAATGGAGGTGAATGGTTTCCATCCCTTCCCCTCACCCCCATTACCCTCAATCCAAACAAGCCCTTAATTTATGTCATTTTCATGTTATTTTCATTGTTTCTTAAATAAATTAAAGCCTTAATTTATTATGCAGTTTAACCATCAATCTCTTTTTTACAAATCTAAATAAAAATTTATGATTTCTAATGACTAAAAAGCTATTGGGATTTCAATGTCTTGAGATTTCAATAAATTTTCGTGTTTGGTTCGCTTAAGATTTGGACACGAATGAGATTAGGACTTTCTTCTAATCTTCAAAATGGGTAGTAGAAAGTTCCGCCATCCTCTAGTATTCAGTACATAGGACTTTCCATGACCATTATACCTTCTCAACTCACTTATTCCCCACATCAATATATTATAATATTAAATTGGGGGCCACTTATAATTTATGAAATTTTGAGATGCTGTTTGTAAAGCTTTGAGGATTATTTGTAATTTTTAAAACCTTTAAGGGGATGGTTGACAAGTTTTCAAGGGTGCCTTTTTGTAAATTCTTTGAGGCGTTTGTAATTTTAGAAATTTTCAAGAGGTTCTTAGTGATAATTGAAGAAGCTATTTGTAATATTTTGATATTTTTAGCATAGTGTTGTTACTTTAGCAACATATATGGAGCTAGTTGTAAAATTTTTAAATAGTTTTCTTTAAAAGCATCAACGAGAAATTTATAATTTTTGAAACTTTTAAGGGCTGGTTGTAAAAGTTTTAAGGGTTGATTGTAGAACTTCTACGGGATATTTATAATTTTAGAATCTTTCAGAGCGCAATTTGTAATATTTTTAAATTTTCTAGATTTTTTGTAATTTATAGATTTTAAAGGGGCGGTTTATAATTTTCCAAGCATTTATGGTTCTGTTTGTAATTCTCAAATTTCTCAAGAGTTTATTTTTAATTATTGAATCTTAAGAGGTTGTTTGAAACTTTCTTGGGTCGTTTGTAATTTTTAGATTTTGCATCGGATGATGGTAGCTTTTGAAATTTTTAAAGAGTCCTTTGTAAAAAGTTTAAGGAATTGTTTGTAATATTTCATATTTTTATCAGGATGTTAAGTTATTTTCACAACTTTCGTGGGGCTTGGTAAAAATTTTCAAAGGGCTATTTGTATAATTTTTAAGGGGTTATTTTAGGTTTTGGAACTTTTAAGGTGCTAGTTGTAAAATTTTCAAGCAGTTGTTTATAAAATTTTAGAACTTTTATGGGATAGTTTTAAATTTTGAAGTAATTTTTGGATTTTCAAGGGATTTTTTATAATTTTTGGATTTTGAAAGTGTTAGTGTATAGTATATTGATTTTTATGATGTTATTTGTTTTTAAATCTTAAGGGTCATTTTTAATTTTCTATTTTTAATGGTCTATTTAACATTTTAGATTTATCAGGAGGCTGTTTCTAGTTTTTAGATCTCAAAGAGTAGTTTGTAATTTTTAAATTTTTATGGGATTGTTTGTAATTTTTAGACTTTTGAGGGGACATTTTATAATTTTCTAACCTTAAAAAACTCTTTTTATATAAAGGAGGATTTTGATTAATAGAATTTTTAAATTATAAAGTTTTAATTTGAGAAGGATTCTTAGGTAAAGATAGGATTATGTGTCAATGTGTCAATTTCTGATAAGATAGACAGACATTTGACGGTTTTTTGACACATGATATATTTTTGAAGCTTTAGGAGTAGTACATCAATTCATATATAAAGCATGGATATGATTATGAGATATTTAATTATGGATAGTTATAATCCAATTAGAATTACCAAATATTTAATTCTTAGAATTTTTCTAACTATAAATAGTTTTAAGTTGATGAGAATTCTTAATTAGGTGAAGATAGGTTATGTGTCCACATGGCTATCTTTTATATGAATATCAAATATTTAATTATTAGAATTTTCTAACTATGAATAGTTTTAATTTGATGAGAATTCTTAATTAGGTGAAAATAGATTAATTGTCCACGTGACTATTTTTTTGATAGGACACATCATATATTAAAATGACATGTGTCAGTTTATCTGCTAAGATATTTACTTAATTATGAGTAGTTCACCAATTTATATATAAAGGAGAGATATGATTATAAGATATTTAATTATGGATAGTTATAATATGGATAGTTATAATTCGATTAAGAGTATTTCACCAATTTAAAGAAGGATATGATTATGAGATATTTAATTATGGATAGTTATAATCTGATTAGGGTTACCAAATATGTTTTTTCGATATTAGTCTCTTAAATCTCTAGTAATTTGATATTAGTCCCTTAAATATATGTATTTTGCTATTAGTCCCTCAAATTACTTAAATATATTGATAAGAGGCCATTTGTTAGAATTTTTGTTAAAATTGGTTTACATAAACCAAGGATGTCCAATTACTAAAATACCCCCCATACTCGTTGAATACACCCACCAAACTAAATTCCCCCTCTTTCTCTCTCTGTCTCTCTATTTTTCACTCTCTTCAAAAGAAAAGGGGTCGTCTTTCTTCCGTTGGAGGCATCGGTGAGCGTGGGAAGCAACGGGAGCTTGAACTCCTTGACGTCGACGATGGCAGAGGAGGAGGAGTCGGCGATCAAGATCCTGTCGAAGGATAAAGAGGAGGAGGTGTCATTGTCGCTGCAATAGCGGGAGAAAGATGGTTCCTTTCGAGGGTTGGTAGGTCTTTGATTGGTTATTGATGGCAACCATGATTATTCTTCAAGATCGTCGTCAGGGTTTTTAGGTTGCATTGATGGGATTTTTTTCCTTTTTGCTGGGAAATTACTTGTAGTTGATTATTTGTTTAAGAGGGAAACATTGGAGAGAAGGAAGAATCTTTGTCTCTCTATTTCCCTCTTAAAAATGGAAAAGAGCCGTTGGAGAGAATGATTTTATTGTAAGCATACTGTTGGAGAAAATGAAATAGGTATTGGGTTCGGTTTGGGTGTCTTAACGATTTTGTGGGTTTGGGTTTTAAAGGGGACGATATAGTTGTCCATTCTCTACAAAAGTTATACATAATAGAATATTCTGTGGTATTTATAAGCCCAGCTAAATTCAGGGACTCTTATCAATATATTTTAAGCAATTTGAGGGACCAATATTAAAATACACATATTTAAGGGACTAATATCAAATTATTGGAGATTTAAGGGACTAATATCGAAAAACCCTTAATTATTAGAATTTTCTAACTATGAATAGTTCTAATTTGATGAGAATTCTTAATTAGATGAAGATAGATTATGTGATTACATGGTTATTATTTGATATGATACATGTCGTGTATTTATATGATACTAGGTGGATTACACGTGCAATGCACGTGGTAAAAATTTAAATTATAATTTTATTTGCCAACATATGAACAGAAACTAAAAATTCACAACGTTTGAACAATAAAATTATATTTAGGGATCAATTAGACGATAGTATATTGGTTGCATCTACAAGGTGATTGATCAATCAAAGACTATCACAAGAATATATCTAAAAATAATGTTTGATGACGTGGATGTAAATCCAAACTTAAGACATTATGTTTTATGAATGTGCATTGCATGTAACTTTGTTATTTCTTCAGGATCAAAATAAAAAGTGTTTTTGTTCGAGCAAAATAAGCTATGTTGACTTCTCAATGAAAGAAATTTCTTTTAGCGCTTCAGTTTAAAAAATTTTGACTTTTGTATTATAAAATCTTAATAATTAATAGAAAAGAGGAGAAACAGGGGGCAATGATCCTAATGCTTCTTTTGGGTTCTAGAGTTACACGAATCATGCATATTAGCACATCAAATCTTTTCCCTAAAATTCAAATTGGTATTAGGTTACTAAATTTGGCTATTTTCAATATTACTACCTTATATCTTTCATATTTTCAAGTTAGCCCCTCAAATCATTCAAATTGTATTTATTTTTTATATTTGGTACCTTAAATCATTCAAATTTGAAATCAGTCCCTAAAATCATTGAAATTGCTAATCGGATTAAACCTTAGTTCGTTTCGTTTAGAAATTAGTTATTGAATAAAAGTAGTAATTAGAGCGCTTAATTTGAAATAGTTTTAATATTTGACTGACTAATTTCAAAATATGAAAGACCTAAGGGTACAATAGTGAAAAAAACCCCAGATATTTTTAGCAATATGAGACAAGTGATATTAGATTGATCCATTATTGCATTGTAGAATAACCCTTCTTTCCAATTATCCTATTCATGACAAATTTTGTGCATGATCAGCAAACGAAAGGCAACGAATATAACAAAATTGTGCAATAAATAGCATTAAAAATAACAAATTTTGAGCTTGTAGACTGATGATATATGATACTATAAAAGTTATGAACAATAGTTCATGCTTATAGTAGATTACTGCAATCTCAGAAAATTTTTATTATTATAAAGAATTTCAGATCACAATTAACATAAGCCA